AAGGAGGGGGGGGGGGGGGGGGGGTCGACCTCAGGCCGTGACGTCACGTCAAATGGTGTTGGTCCAAACGCCTGGGGGCTCTCGTCGGGATAAAACCCCCGTAACCAGTTAAGACGGCCTCACATATTTAAGAGCCTGCGAAGACTATCCTTCATCTCCGTGCTTTAGTGTCTCACAGGTGAACTGAAAAGGAAAACAACTTTTACTTGGTTTTTGTTCTCTCTCCCGAGGATTTAACCCTGTTTATTAGTAATTCATCAAAGAAAGAAAGGTGTCCTATCCCCAGGTATGTTGTTTTTTTTTTTTTTTTTACCTGATGGTTGGTTAATTAATTACAGTGTACTAGCATTTTGTTGATGTTAAGTTTTTACATTTTAAAATTATTTACAGTGATTTATAAGTATAACTATATCAATATATAGAGATATTGAAATAGCTCAAGAAAATTACGTTTAATTTTTAAAAAAATAAAAAAGATTCAAATTTTTAAATAAAAATTTCTTAAAGAAGCGATAAGAGAAATGTTGATATTTAATGATGCTCATTAGTTTGAATGTAGTTTGTGCATCGACGAACAGGATCACATCAAATTTTTATTATTGAACTCCTGTTTATGAAACTATTGTACTACGCGCAGAGGCATAGCGAGGGTGTTTGGTGCCCGGGGACAAGATTCACGCCCGGGGACAAGATCCATTTTAAAGCGCCCCTTTTTTTCTTTTTTTCAACTCTCAAGCCCATTATTTAGATCAATAAAATAATATCAAAGCACATTTTGGCACCCCTAACTAGCTGGCGCCCGGGGACATCTGTCCCCCCTGCCCTCCCCTCGCTACGCCTCTGACTAGGCGGGTGCTAACGGACAGCAAATGTATGAAGAAACATTTGCTTTGAAAATAATTTTGCGAGAAAAGTTTATGCGATTTTTTTTTATTTCGTCCCTAAATTACGAATCATAACACGAATCTCAGACATTATCAAGCAAATTGCGCGTCGACATGAGGTCAGATATTCAGATTGGCTAATGGCCAATTTATAATCTGAAGCCTTAAAGCGATCTTTTATTTTTAAAAAAACAAACACATATTGGAGGGTTATTTAAAAACAATTTATAGAGTTAAGGAATTAAGAGTATTCTGTGTTTCCTTGGGTTCTAGCTCATAAAATACTCCTTGGACTATCGGTAGGCGATATTACGTCACTCCGCCTTTTTTTTTTGTTTAAACACAACCATACATTGACGCGAAGCCTTTAGAAATCTTAAGTTTAGCTTGAATTTTTTGTTGATTTTTTAGTTGTGTCCTGGGCCTGAACTCTACGATGTTCGTTGTCTCTTTTTTTTTTTTTTTTCTTTTTTTTTTTTTTTTTTTTTTTTTTTTTTTTTTGTTTTTTTGGTGATTCACACACATATACAACTCACAGAAATAATTAGTACTAACACATGCTCCTCAGTCGCGCCTATGGAATTCGATCGAAAAATAACATCGGACGTCTTACTCTTCCAACCAATGACTGTAGAAACGATTTTCAACTACGTGTGTTAGATACCTTGATAACAATTGTACATGTTCACACTCGAGTGTTTGAGTAATGCATTTGTCTAAGTTGTGTATTTCTTTTGTGTTATCTCCACGAGTTCTGACTCCAAATTTCATGGGTATGATATTATTTCTAGTATTTTTTTGTTTTTGTTTTATTTTTTTTTTTTTTTTTTGTTTTTGTTTTTTTTTTTTTTTTTTTTTTTTTTTTTTTTTTTTTTTTTTTTTTTTTTTTTTTTTTTTTGTTTTTTTGGTGATTCACACACACATACAACTCACAGAAATAATTAGTACTAACACATGCTCCTCAGTCGCGCCTATGGAATTCGATCGAAAAATAACATCGGACGTCTTACTCTTCCAACCAAAGACTGTAGAAACGATTTTCAACTACGTGTGTTAGATACCTTGATAACAATTGTACATGTTCACACTCGAGTGTTTGAGTAATGCATTTGTCTAAGTTGTGGACTTCCTTTGTGTTATCTCCACGAGTTCTGACTCCAAATTTCATGGGTAAGATATTATTACAAGTAATATTCCCCGAAAGAGCCCATTTAATAAGCGCCATTGTCCTCCAATTGATTCCCCCATACAATGTTTCCCACCTGTCCATGCCCGACAATACAGCTCATAATTAAATAGCTCACCAGGGTCGAACCCCATATCCCCTTTTCACCCCTCCCTTTCCTACGCACCTTGTGATAACCTAATCAAATTTTGTAAAGGCTGCGACTATTCGTACCCGGGTAGCAGAAGTGGGAGGTTGAGATTAAAAAACTATTTAAATATTATTGTTGGGTTTGTAAGACAAAATGAGGTATCAAATGGAAGATAATTGAATGGACTATATTTTTGTAAACTTAATTCTTAAGTTTAACTAAAATAAACTACCACAAATGACATCCGAATAGCTTGAATCTAATGGTACCCGGGTGCGAATGGCGGCGCTGCGTGCCTGGGTCCATTTTGACTCAGTGCTATTCAGATGTCATTCGTTGTAGTTTATTTTATTTAAACTGAAGAATTAAATTTACAAACATATAGTCCATTTAATTATCTTTCATTGGATAGGCCTACCTCATTTTGTCTTACATACAAACCCAACAATAAAATTGTTAATCGTTTTTTAATCCCAACCCCTCAATTCTGGTACCCGGGTACGAATAGCCACTTCGTTTTGTAAAACGTAATCTGAAAAAAAAAAATCCTCATCATTCAAATCCAGTAGCGATTTGGGGCATGTGCCCCTCTGCCCAATGCAACGAATAGTTTCATCGCTCAATGGTAGACCCCTCATATGTTTTATCTCATGATATAGTGACTTCATGTTTATAAATACACAAAATCTAACAAAAATATTTTTTAAAGTTATTTTCTACATGTGAACCTAAGACATTCCAGGCATGAATTGAAATAATCAGCCTTTATGTCATACTATAGTTAAACTGTTCTAAGCTACATTTTTACACTCAGATAACTATACCGCTGAATTAAGTTTGCAAAATGTTCGAAATCTTGCTCATTTAAAGCTACAGATCATGATATTTCTTTTCTAGGCTCAGGCCGTAGTTAGACTCACACATTTAAACATTTTTAATCCATTATAATGGGTTAATTTGTCTGTGCAAACTTTATGTAAAGCTAGTTCTCTAAGCGTTCCAGGTAGTTACACAATAATATGCCGCCAATCAATGATATGAAACCTTTTTACATGTGTCGCAAAAGTAATAAATAATCTCTGTTTGGTGGAGGTGGGGGGAGGGGGGGTGCTGTCAGCGGCTAGTCGTCAATCGCATTGATTAAGATTTTGGAGTCTAACGAAAGGTGGGCATTCCGCCGTTAAACAGGTAAAGTGAAATCAATAGCAACTAAGTAAATTCAGAAACAAGGTACAATGTAGAGGCGCCACGATGGCTTGGCGCCCTGGATTTGTCTAGGATTACTGTAAATGTTCAGCACGAGAAGTGACAGGTCAATGACAATGTAGTAGGACTACGTTAGAGATTTCGTTACCGACCACTAGTGAGGTGGGTTGATTCTGTTGACAAAGCAAACAACTAAAAATGTGGTTTAAACAAAACGATTGACCAAAAAAAGAGATTACTCTCTCAACACGTCTGTCTGCACGATTTTGGCGTGACGACAATCCATGCAAGCCTTTCTTACCAGTTCTTCAGATTAATTAGATCAGTTTTGTCGGAGATCGCTAGTTTCAAAGGCATATTTTAATGAGATATAATAGCTGATTTATAAATACATTTATATATATATATATATATATATAAATATAGGATTAAATTATTTGGATAAATAATGCGAGAACATTCTAGTTCATAATCTAGCTTCGTCGCCATGGCCGCCTTCTATAACAAAATACCACATGTTGAGAATGCATGGCAAAGATTGTCTTTTCTTTCTTCTTTTTTTTTTTCCGTTGTCAATAGAATAATAGTTTAATAATAGAATTCATTGTTTCATGAAGGTTTTGAAGGTTTACATTCATGCCACTTTCAATTTTGTTTTCGAGAATGCTAAAAAAAAAAAATTTAATATTTTTTATTTTATTGATGTGTTCAATCTATGTGAAATAAAAGCCAACTAAAACGCACCCACCCACTTACTAATCAAGAGACATCAAAAACATCAAGCCCCTGTGAAGTTTAACAATTTTTCAATGATGATTCCTTTTATACTTTAAGGGTGCACTTACAATGATTTTTTTGTTCTTTAATGTAACGTTTCTTCCTTCTTCTTAGCCGTTCTCACTCCCATGGGGCCTAGGCCGTCCACATTACTCTTCCAGCTGTCCCTGTCCTGGGCTATCTTTGCTAGTTCATCCTAGCTTTTCTTCATCCTCTTCATCTCTGTCTCTACTCCCCTCTTCCATGCGGCTCTTGGTCTTCCTCTTTTCCGGGTACATTGAGGGTTCCAGTTCAGGGTCCGTCTGGTGATGTTAATGTTTGGTTTCCTTAATGTGTGCGCCCCATGTAACCTTTAAATGTCCTAAAATGACCAAAGGTCGAACAATTTTTTTTTTTTTTTTTAAATCCTTAATTATTTTTCTTGAGCTTGTTTTCCTTTTGAGTCTTGTTGTCACGTGTATCCTTAATGTGTGCGCCCCATGTAACCTTTAAATGTCCTAAAATGACCAAAGGTCGAACAATTTTTTTTTTTTTTTTTAAATCCATAATTATTTTTCTTGAGCTTGTTTTCCGTTTGAGTCTTGATGTCACGTGTCATGGGTTTTGCGCTGAATTGAAACAAGCAATCTTTTATTATTGCCAATGCGCATCCAACACGAGTATGCAAAATTCAGGTTCTCAAACCATTTATTGTGGGTTAAATAACCACTATTAAAGACACTTTAGACAACCAAGTGCCTGGTTACGTATAACTAAATGCAAGGGTCGGGGGTGAGTACAAATGAATTCAGCCCCACCGTCTGATTGTTGTTTAAACTTCAACGAACGAAAAGTTGCGTAGGAAGGGGCTGCGTAGGGGGGCCGTCCGCACGCATTGACACTTGTATACAAATATTTAGAAGTGGGTTTTTTGTTTGTTTGTTGTTTTTTTTTTTTTGCTCACTGCAGAGGTTTTGGGTTTTTTCTTGGAAATCAGGTAGACAAAATGCATGGACCGCCCCGAGGGACACCCACCCTGGCTACGCCACTGCTTTTGACTATGAACATCTATTACCAGAAGAATTAAAATGTTTCTTCTTAGCCAATCCTATTGACTAATTTGTTTCATTTTCTCAAACATCGTTGTAAAATAAGGATGTTCTGGAAATATATATATATATAATTCAAGTCCAAGCCCCCTTGTAGACAATACTAAAGCCGCGAACTCCACTACGGCGGAATGGCTTGTTAATTACTTTTAGTAGCGTTGACAGCTGTCACTACTGACAACAACTGTGTTTCCCCGTGACAATCCATTCGTTGCACTTATGTAAGCGAGCCTGTAGCGTTTACAAATGTTAATGCTGTAAAGGTCATCCTATCAGTATCATTGTATAGGGTTTGCATGACCCAGAAGAAAAAAAAGGTTATATCATCATTGCTAGCTGTGAGTAGCCATGTGGGGTGACTTTTAAACAATAACTTAATTATTTCTTCTTGTTTTTTTTTTTTTATATATCACTTTCCCCCAGTTTGTCACGGTCTAACGTAATCAAAACAGAAATTATCAATTCTCTTTGTTCCTAGATGGGAAACGCTTGACATTGTCTACATCATGAGGCATTTAGTGACGGTCTATAACGTAATTAATACAGAAATTATCAATTTTCTTTGTTCCTACACGGGCCGTGCCTGACTACGTCTAAGGGGTGGGGGGGGGGGGGGGGCGCATTTAGTGACGGTCTAACGTTGAGCCACTAATTGATTTAAATGCATTGACTTTGAAGGCTTACCGTTGAGGTCGTGAATAGGGTCATGGTGAGGAACTTTTGTTAATAATGTATATGACAGAGCACCACCAAACATTCTTTTTAAGGTAAAGGGCAAACCAAAAAATACGTTTTTTGATCCGATATCCTCCACTTATTCTCATGTGTTATATGCCGAGATATTTTTCCTTGTTAAAAATTCAGAAAGTTTTTATTTATAGTTTTGTTCCCCAAAGGACAACAACGGCATGCATGGCTCCCAGTAAGAATAAGACAGTGTCATGGGGGGGGGGGGGGGGGGGGGGGGGGGGGGGGGGGGGGGGGGGGGGAAGAGGACCTGGTCCACTAGGGGCGCTTTTTTTGTTGTTTGTTTGATATTGGGGGGCGCCATTTTTGGACAACTGCAGAGTCGTAAATTTTTTTTGCGGAATGGGCCATGGGCGTTTATGCTGCGAAAGAACATTTCAATTCTTGTGCCCAACCCACTTTGGTTTGGTATGTAGATGAGTCAATCACTATACAGCGGTCATTTTTTTGAAGTTTATAAATATTTTTTAAATTATAATTTTTAGATAGGTCAGACATGTTAGCATCGCCTTTGGCCATATGCCAGTCCTGCCAACACATTGTATAGCCGTGTTCTAAGGTTGTGTTGTGAGGTCAGCTGTGTCTTAAAAGGTTCCACATACACGCACAGAGCAAAACAATGGATCCTTTATCGTACTTTAGATGGTAGATTTCACTTGGCAGGCATAAACTCTTGTCTGTCACAATTTGACCTGACTGTTTTTAGGCCTCCCCCCGGCGGTGTTGGAAGTTAATTAATGGGGTAAAGTTCCTTTGATCTATGAGCGCTGGATATGCCACGGCAGGTTTTAGTTTTCATCGCCTATTTGAAAGCAACAGAGAGAGTCGAGCTTAGAAACGCAACTATTTGAAGACCCATCCAAAAAAAAAAAATATGTTACTGTTCTGCAGTCAGTAACTTTATCAGTTTGAAGATGTTGTTTGTTTCTTAAAGATTAATAGAGACGTGTATTTAAAAGTTTTAAAAGTGCTTTCTTTCTCCAACTGGTGTAAAGTATTACAGAATCTTGCAACGCTTTTGAATGAAGTAAAGAAGAATTATAGGTTTTAGCAATACAAATTTCCTTTTAAAAAAATCCTCTCTCCAATATTAACAGGGATTGAGTTGTTTTTTTTTTTTACAGCACATCGTTTTGCTACAAACACGTCCTTTTATTCAGTTATGTTTGCTATGGGTCATAAATATTTCCATACGCGACTATGTAAGTGCTTAATTTACCTACGCTATGTGCGCCTTGCCGGGCGGGTATTCACACCTGGGACCTCTGAGGCGTAACTGTTTGATGCACCCTGTTGCGGTGCAGCACGTCACGTGGTATTGCCGTAATCACGTTGACAGGCGACGATGCGTGTATATTTGAAACCCGCTGTAGCACGTGGTATCCTCCGAATGCCGGCCAGGCCACGCCTCGTCACACACGGGTTGCTGGCCATTGGTGAAACGGAAACGTTTGTTCATTAGTGAATAGATGTTTAACTAGGTTATGAATTGCCGGTAGTGAACCTTCGAACTGCGCTAGTGTAGGATTGTAGGAATTATATTATTGTTTTTGTTGGGTTTTTTTTTTTACAACAGACTGTCAACTAGTGGGAAATGCACTTTACTGCCATTAAATGCTCTTTATTTTATAATGGCTGCGTGCAATGACTCGTCTATAGGTAGAAAGAGAGGGGTTGGGGGTCATTAGAAAAAGGAGGTATGGGTTTTTTTTTTTTTTTAAAATGAGGGGTTTGGGTTATTTTTTGGGACCGGGCACAAGATTTTGGTAATTACTGTTTTGTTTTTTTTTAAATATATTTATATTTATCTTTATATTTTTTTTCAAACTACTTATCGTATGAATAGAGACATTATATAGGGGTAATGGGAGGGTGGGGTGGGGGGTAGGACATCAAGAAGATCTTTGGTATAGGCCATGATAATGAGCACCATGTAAGCGTAATGAGTTGATATTGAACACTATGTAAGCGTAATGAGTATGAGCACAATTTATGCATTTTGAAATAAATTTGAAATTTTTAAATAATCAAAGTGAAATTAAATTAATTATATAGTTAAGAAATAGCTTTTAGATATATTTTTATTTAGAAGAAAAAAAAAGGCAAGTATTTTTATTTAAAAGTTAGAAAGCGCATAAAGAAAAACGATTATATTTCAAATGCACAAAAGATAAACTTGAAATTATCACACAACCATAAACATTGAGAAATTTCTATGTGACACTGTTCAGTCAATGGGTTAAATTTGAACAGCTTAAAAAAAAACAGTGATAAATTAATATAAGATTTGGATCCAAATGTAAATCCAACTTTAAAAAAAAAAACAATATCAGCTCTGCGGCCGTCTATAAACGCGTTCATTCCTTATAATGTTCAGTGAAGAGGAAATAAAAACAGTCTCACTTAGTTCAAATGATATGAGAGCAAATAGATTTTATTAAATGATGTCTAATTCTCACAAGAAATGAACCAAACCCGTTACTAAGATCTTGTTTAGGACGATTCTGCCTCAGGTCTTTTGATTTGCCACATTGAAACATCCTACATGAAGAAGGTTACATTTCAATAAAAAAAAAAAACTAATTGTGTATCAGTGGATTAAGTTAACCATCTTGTCTCATGCCGTGTGTCGCAGATCAGGAAATGGTCGCAGAATCCACGTTGAAGCATTGGTTCTGGCCCATACTGGCCCTCGTCTTCGTCGTCCTCTCCATCGGCCTCTCCATCGCCCTCATCGTCGTCTGCCGACAGAGAGATGACCTTCAGAGCGGCGTGGCCCCCGTTGCTGCAGCGTCGGCGGAGAAAATCCCGGTGTGTGGCGCCACCAACCTCAACGGCAACACCATCAACCTGACCGAGCCAGCCTTTCCGACTCTGTTCCATGACTTGACGATCCAAGAACTGAAAAATGTGAGTCATAGATTGCCATCTTATCGAAATTAAATTTGATAATAGCTCTTGACGGAAGTAAAGCAAACCGTAACAGGAAATTTGTTTGAATGAAATTTCGTCGACGGAAATTGATCGACGGAAATTCGATCGAATCTTTTTTTTCAGTTCACACGTTAAAATTTTTCGTCAAATCTCCGTTCGATCAAATTTCAGTCGGCCAAATTTTCGTCGAAGAAATTTCCCTCAAACGAATTTCCGGTAATCAAAAGAAATTTTGTTTTTTATTTTGTATCTCTTCAATTCAGTGTGCAAACGAAATACCACGAAACATTTAGTTTGTTTCCTTCGTAGTGGTACCCAGAAAAGAGGTGCTCAACCAATAAGAAATCAATAAATATAAAATTATTTGATTATAATCCTTGCTGCGCAACATCATCAATTGGCACGCCCCTGCCCGTATGTTAACGCTAAGCTTAATGACTCTAGTAACCCCCACCCCTGTTCTCTATGAAGGATTATACGTCTCTGTTGTCTTCTCAGTTACGCAAGTTCCTAGAGGACCATCCGGACATCAAGGCCGCCAAGTCCAGCACAGCCAAGGTCGGCTCAAGCTACATTTATATGATGGACCTGATTGTGCCACCCAAGGCGGAGGTCTTGAAATATATGGAGGGAAAAGGTGATTTATATGACTTCAAGATTTTGAAATATAGGTGTTGCCGGTGTGCTTATATACTATGAATAGGAAGCCAGAAGCCTTAATTTCAAATTTCTCTTTGAAATTTATGTATTGTAAATATCACATCCAACTCAAAACCCTGATACATAGCATTTATATTGAAAAGATATAATACATCAGTACTTGTTTTCGACCATATGGCGTCTTTATTTAGGCAATTAAAGCATCTTAATCACTCTGATTTGTAATGTTTAATTAACAATTTGCCTTGCAATGTTTGACAATATGCACCAAAGGCTGGAGCCACCGTACTAAAAACAACATAACACAGTAGTGAGCCATTTTTTGTGTGCTGATGGCTCAGGGAAAGTAGTTTATTTTTTTATATTTTATTTATTTTTTTGGTCTAGCCACATGACAAGTTCTTGAAATCTACATTCAATGGCAGTAATTTGAAAAAATAAGCGGTGGACTTTTTTATTGTTGAATTTTCTATAATTATTATGATTACAGTTTGTCAATTTTATACTGCGTTAAATGATTTGATTTTAGAAGGCTACTGCAGATGATCCATTACACTTACATATACGGCAAACATAAATCCATTTGCGGAAGGTCTTGCAGTTCGGATGAATTTGTTTTTTTCAACAATAGTGTTGATTGACGTTATTTTTAAATATTTTTTTTCAACAGAAAGCACAGCTTCAAGGAGTGCCAGGGTCATGATGCTCCGGGGGGACCTGAGCCCACCAGTGGTCCAGGAATGGAAGTGTGGACCACTCCCCGTAGTTTTCAGCTGTGAGCTCTTGAGGAAAGAAGAAATTAACACAAGGAACCCGATACCTTTTTCGGTCAGGTACTGGTGATGTTATCTCTTTTCTGTATTGAACTATTAAACAAGATCATGTGTTTATCAAAAACGTATGAAGAAGCCAAGATAATATGATTGTCAAAAACGTATGAACTAACTAAGATAATATGTTTGTTACAAACGTTTGAAGTCAAAACAAAGAGAGGTCGTTGTTGCTGAAAGAAAATTTCTTGGATGAATTGTTGTTAATTTTTTTTAATGGAGAAATGCATTTCTATTTGTATATGTTTAAGTAACATTTAATATAAATATCAACATGGCAGGCAGTGGTTGTGAAGGTTTCAAATTTAGAATTGTCATTTTACCAAATGTTATCGACGACAAAATAAAACTCAAAGTGAATCTTTACATAAACAGACATACACACACGCTCACACAAAACACACATACGCACACACACAGAGACAACCCCACTATGACAGCTCCAAATTTCACCTCCATGGTAATGTGAAACATTTTTTTTATTGCATTTATACAGAAGAATAAGAGTGTTTTGTACTCCATGTGTAGAAGCATTGATTACAACAGTAACCCAAGAGAATCAATGAAGTAGCTCATAAAATATCTACAGATGATACTTACTCGAACACGAATGAGACTGGTGTTTTGAACATAACCATTTTTGTTCATTCTACCGTGAAATCGTTTGCCTTTCGTATTTTAATGTCAATGTTTATATCATTAATGGCATCCCATCATTTCAGACCGTTCAACACCTTAGAGATGGATGCTATTGTTCAGAATCCACTGAAAACTCTTGACTCCAAGGTACGACATTTTGGAAATAAAAATTTAAAAAAAAAAAACAGTATTTTGTCTCCCTGCAGCAATTAATTTTAATTCAAACGTCATTTCCGTTTCTTCGCAAAATGTTCTTTTAGTGTGTTAATCAAATTTATTAAATTAAGAGGCAATCTCCTTTCTCAAGGAAGCTGTCCAGGTGCATCAGTCACAGCTACGTAAACATAGTATACACCTCATTCATTATATCTTGTAGATGAGGGCAGTTACTGGGTTTCATTTTTTCTTTTTCATTTTTTTTTTTTAAAGAACTTTTTTCTTCTCTTATTCTATTTAAAATGTCTGTCTCCCAATGTTTTTTGGCCCAACAGATCAGTAGACTTCTCTTAGAAAGCTACAACTCCACCTTCACACAGTGCGTCAACCCTAAAGATTGTCTGGCGTTCGCAGCATCCCCAGTGGGCACCGCCCTGGCTGGAAACATTAACGACAGGTAGTGACGTCAGATAGTTTGTGGCTGATTGTAAACCATTGTTTCTTTAAAAAAATGTTCTTTCTAAGTTTCTGTTTTTATTCTGCCATGCTCTTGAGGACCATTTCTTCTTATAATGTTAAGCGTTTTTGTAGTTGATTTATGTTAACATAGCTATTTATGATCTACCATTTTAGTTCATACGTGATTAGTGTTTTAACAGTAAAACTCTGCACATACATGGGAAATTTTTTAATTTTTTTTTTCTATTCCAAACCCAAACCTGTCATGCGTCTTTTTGGGGTACCTTTATTGCTTTAAAAGGAAGCAAACCTTAGTAAGAATAAATCAAATTTTAATACATGCTTAAATAGCTTTCATGGGTGAAAAACAAATTATTCCTACGTAGAAATTTTTTTTTTCTTTCTTGAAACATAGAATGTTATTTGTGTTTATCTTTCAAATCTTACATCCGGGGACTTCTCTGCCCTCTACTTTGTGTGACAACTAATGACATTTTTTTTTTTTTAAATTATCCGTCTACAAGGGGGATGTGGCTGTTTGCCCTCTACAACATCTCCTTTCCATACCTCCACCCGCTCGGGTTCGGAGTCCTGCTCCAGCTGAATGGCGCCGACCCCACCAAGTGGACGACCAGCAAAGTGTATTACAACGGTGAGGTCTACGACACCGCCGAGAAGCTGATGACTGCCTACGATACCGCGGCGTAAGTATTAGAAGCGGAATTGTGATTGAAAAGACACTAGTTGCATCGTTTATTTCTGTGGACGTCCTGAAAAAAAAATGACGTGTTGATTATAGCAGCTATTTTCTTCCCTTCCTACATGTCGTTATTCAGGCTAGGGATGACGCGTGGTCAGCCTACGATGAACAGAGTCACATAGATTGAAATTAAACAACCTCTTTAAAAAAACAACAACATTTTTTGGTATAAATCTTTGATAAGCATCTTGGTTTGCATTTATGTAATTGCGCGTGATTTATTATTCGTTAAAGAGCGGTTATGTAAATAGGAAAACTTCTGGCAAAAATACGTTTCATATTTCCGTTTTTTCCCCTTCAAAAATTAATTGTATTTTCCTGTATACCGAAATACGCCACAAATACAAAACAGATAGAAACAGCCACAAATAAATCTCCACACCAAAAATGTGCACCTATAGAATAAATCTTTTAACATTGCACCCCCATCCCCTGGAAAAAAAAACAGGACAAACTGACTTTTGGGGAAAGGGTGGGGCTGACAATGTGACAGAATGTTTTGTGATTGGCACTGAGTCTATGTGCCAAGTTTCAGCTGTGTAGGATGACGGCAAGTGAATCAGTTAGCTCAATCTCTGCGAGATGCATGGGATTGCAATTATACTGATAGAGTTTAAGAAAATACTTCTTATAATTTTTTAAAGGGTATTACAAAGTCATGATTAATCCTTAATGGCGTGCGCGCAATCTTTGAGGAATCGAAATCGACTTGACCTAAATTCATTAAAAAAAAGTTAATCCTGACCGCTGTTGCCACCACAGATTCAAAAAGATCAACATGACGAAACCAGTGGAGTCGGACAAGCTCTTCTCAACACTCCAGAGGCGAGGTGATCCCCAGCCGGCCAATCCACAGAGACCGCCGACTCTGGTGGAGCCCGATGGGAAAAGATATTCAGTGCAATACAGAAAGGTGACATTTGCCTTCTATTGTTTTTTTTTTAAGTGTCCTTATATATACATATATATATGTATGTATACACATTTAATGAAACCATTGGTATGCAATGTAATAATGATCTGTAAGTTATACTACATTCCGTTGTATCCTTGATTGCGTGTTTGGAGCCTTTGGAAAATACGAAGAGGACATTTAAATTAAAATGAACCACTGTCCAGAACAGAGTCAGTATTTTTTAATATTTTTTTTTTAGATTCTGCAATGGTTAAATATGAAAATATATTCCAGTAAGTCATTTATATTCATTTATATGTTCTGTTTCGATCAAAGTGAATCAGGTCAATGTTACAGCTTTGATTGGGGGGGGGGGTAAAAGAAATAAGTCTACACGTGAACAGGGGTAGGCTGTATCGTAAATGATTGATTTCACAGTCTATCCAGAAATTTGCTTAATGTTGTTATCTGGCTATATATATATATATATATATATATATATATATTTATTAAAAATATATGTTTTTTTTTTATATATTTATTATATTTATATAAACTTTAAATGTTGTTATCTGGCTATATATATATATATATATATATATATATATATTGACTTAAAAAATATGTATTTATTTTATATATTTATTATATCTATATAAACCTTTAAGCTAAAGTTTGACAACTATGGAAGTAAACTAACTGTAATTTTGATGCCGTAGGTGACATATTTGAACTGGTCATTCCACTTCCGGATGTCCGCATACACCGGCCCTGCTCTTTATGACGTCAGGTTCAAAGGGGAGAGGATCGCGTATGAAGTGGCTCTCTCGGAAATAGCGGCCTTCTACTCTGGTCATTCCCCATATCCGGTAAGCTCGTCTGTATTCGTGTTAAGTTAAGCTCTTCAGCAATGTCAACTTCATGTGAAAGAAACGGTTGTGTCCATAAAACATTTCAACAACCACTGAACAAAATATACAAATCTTCATTTTAAAATCAATAACACAACAAAATTATTTAAACTTATAAATATATATATATATATTATTAAAACATGTCTATACAAATCATTATTAAAGATTTACTCGCGTGGGGGAAGCTATGGATAATTTGTCCCAGAGATTAACATGGGAGACTACTTGCCCTAGGACTTTTAGGACAAGAAAGGGGTCTCAAAAGTAAACCGTACTCTTTCCCTGCATCTGTTTCAATAGTTTACTTTTATTGGTTTGATTTTTTTTTTTTTTAAGCAAACAACCAATTTCGTGGACAGTGGCTCTCTGCTTGGTACCCAGTCTAGGGCCCTTGTGCCAGGTGCCGACTGTCCTGCGACGGCGACTTTAATCAATCAGGTAATACTTAAGTTTATAGTTAAATCTACTTTAGGTTCTATTGACAGGCCGGTGTGCGACCCCTGGGTTGCTGTGTCCTTGCCGGTGTGCGACCCCTGGGTTGCTGTGTCCTTGCCGGTGGGCGACCCCTAGGTTGCTGTGTCCTTGCCGGTGTGCGACCCCTGGGTTGCTGTGTCCTTGCCGGTGTGCGACCCCTGGGTTGCTGTGTCCTTGCCGGTGGGCGACCCCTAGGTTGCTGTGTACTTGCCGGTGTGCGACCCCCTGGCTTGCTGTGTCCTTGCCGGTGTGCGACCCCTGGGTTGCTGTGTCCTTGCCGGTGTGCGACCCCTGGGTTGCTGTGTTCTTGCAGGTGTGCGACCCCTGGGTTGCTGTGTTCTTGCAGGTGTGCGACCCCTGGGTTGCTGTGTCCTTGCCGGAGTGCGACCCCTGGGTTGCTTTGTCCTTGCCTGTGTGCGACCCCTGGGTTGCTGTGTCCTTGCCGGAGTGTGACCCCTGGGTTGCTGTGTCCTTGCCGATGTGCGACCCCTGGGTTGCCGTGTCCTTTAATGTAATCCCTTTTATTTTTCACGCGACGTCTAGCATTTACGACGATAAGCTAGTTACACCTGTATTGATCAGTACAGCCGTGGACTGTTTGTGAACGGGTTAGGTTTGATTCTCCCTACTGCCAATATGTTATTAAGTGTTTGGGCCATAACTAATGTGGTAAGCGGAGGCCAGTATCCAAGAAATTCAATGAAATTATAAACTTTAAAAAAAAAATTGATATAAAATTAAGAAGAAAGTTGATCCTAACGATTTAACACGTTACCTTCTCATACATATACATTTGAAAACTATGACTGTTGCTAACAATAGTCAAGAATTAGTATTTTTTAAAATCCTTTTATAAATTGTATTTCTTATTTTGCAAAAGAGTTTCCAGTGTTTATTTTAAGGTTGCGGATAATACAATATCAAAATCAAGCTTAGTCTCATTCCTAAATGACACATCCAGTTGTTTATTCTAAAGTGGTTCACCTTAAAGCCATTGCTTCCCGTCTCAGGAGCAGCACGTGCTGATTGATTTGTGCCCATAGAAAATGTTAATGTATCGTTTTCAGACATTCCTGAATCAAAACGGAGAAGCCCCAGGTGTCTACGACGCCGCCTTCTGCCTGTTTGAGAACAACAATGGCAACCCACTAAGGCGCCACCTATCGTACTCGCTAAACCAGGGAGGGTTCTATGGAGGCATGCTGGACTCAGCGCTTACTCTCAGGTATTGAAATGCATGTCCAGACTTGATCATGTTTTGTAAAAGATGTCAACCATCTGGTATAATGGGATGTTGTAAAAGACGTCAACCATCTGGTATAATGGGATGTTGTAAAAGATGTCAACCATCTAGTATAATGGGATGTTGTAACAGATGTCAACCATCTAGTATAATGGGATGTTGTAAAAGATGTCAACCATCTTGTATAATGGGATGTTGTAAAAGATGTCAAGCATCTGATACATCGGGATTTGTTATAATTCCTAAACATACTGCATCCTGCTTTTTGCTTGAACATGAAATACGTCATCAACAAATAATACGTTTATTAGTTTTCTTTGAGTTTAGCGCTAAATTTCCATTAGCAGTACGACAGTGGCTAACAGTAACTGTTAATGTTAAGAAATATATTTACTTGGATATCGTCACGTGAGACTTTTCACTCGATTACATGTGTTTTCACTAGTATTCTTATTTGCTGCAATTTCAGATCTGCACTGACAATCGTTAACTATGACTACATCATTGACTTTATCTTCCACCAAAATGGAGTCATGGAGACAAAACTCATGCCCACAGGTAACTAAATAATGACCTATGGAAAAACACTTTAAATATTTTTTTTTGAAATACTCATATGGATATCAACAATGAAACTAGCTGACAAATAAGTCCGTAAGATTAACTTTCTCAAGTCAAATTGTTTCCCATGTTCAAACGTCGTGAACATATTAATACTGGACACAAGTCCTATAGAGTTTGTCATTGGCGGAAATCTAGTAATAGAACATCCGGGCGTACGGTCTGGCCAATTGCATTACGGATATTAATAAAGCATAATGGTTTTCCATTTGGCCAATCTCTAAACATCTGTTCGGTACTTCTACTTGAATGTGAGCCAGCATGGTGGGTCTTAACCTAGACGAAAATATTTTTGCAATTTTATTTGCTAAAGATTTGTTTAACAAATTGTTAATGTTATATACATCAGTAAATATATTGTTAGAAGCTATGTTCTGGGAAACATTGTCTAAAATAGTAACATTACGCAATGCAATTTTACGTTTTCCGGTCTTAGATAGGACAAAACCTTGTTCCAAGATCAACGTCAACTTTAATCTAAGCTATTTATCATCTGATCCTACGGCATTATGAAAGCTATAATGCAGCTCGCTAAAGGAAACACAATTTAATCTTTCCTCTCCAAAACCCGACAGCAACAGGCAAAAGATGGGACGGATTTAAAGCGAGTCCATATTCCACGTCATAGATACATACAATCACGTCACGAATAGGTCACAAGCCTCACGGCGACCAGAACGTTCATTAATGAAACTAGCACTCAAAGCCACACCGCGCACAATAAAGCATAGCATACGGTGCGCAACATTTACAAGTCAATATCCACTCTCTACACAGACAAGATATCATTTTAATCATTTTTTTAAATTATTAAAATATAAAAGTTCATCGCTGATAGAAAATAAGAACGTCAAGAGATCCAATAAACTCGTTTAAAAAAAATACACTTCCTAAATTCTTAAAGATTTCAACAATTTGTTTCCCACTGCAATGCCCCAGAGAGCAAAGTGCCGTTGTGTGCAATTATTATTTCATTTTGAACTGCACTAAATATATATATATATATATATATATATATATATATATATANATTGCACTTATATTAGACAAATTAAAAAAAACTTTAATTTCTATTAAATTGCACAGGTTACGTGCTAACCAACTTCTACAAAGATGTCGAGGCCGCCTATGGTTTTAAAATACAAAATAACATCATTGGCAACATTCATCACCATTTGGCACATTTCAAGGTCGACCTTGACATTGGCGGATCCGCACTGAACAGGTTCCAAACGTTGGACATACTCCAGGAAACAGTCCAAAGAACAGACGTAAGTCACTTTAAATTATCTGTTTCAATGTCCTCCTGCGAAGAAAAAAAAAGGTAAAATCAAAACACATTGGAACGGTTTAACTATAGAACCCAGCGAAACAAATGTCTTATATTTTGAGAACCCTTTTGCTGCAATCACAAAACACACACCAAAAATCAAAAGAAAGAGGAAAAGACGGTAGGCCTCTCTTCCATCACACAGCTTGAATGCAGTGGTCCAATATCTCCTCTCTGCATGCTTGGTGTTTCACCTACCCCTGCTCACGCAAACACGCTTTTTAAAAGAATATTTGATGGTTATGTGTTGTTGTTTTTACGGTAAAATATTAGAGGCTTGAAAGTGTACTGGTGTAAGAATCTAATGTCATGAAAATGCTAACTCATCTTTTCTTAGCTTCTACGTTAAGACGCAGCATAATTTGTATTCAACACACAGTACAACAAGAATTACATTAAAAGTCTCGTTAGCAGGAACGAATTGCCAATACCCTTTGTTTTTCTTTAACTTTGCAAGAATATAAAATATTTTATTTTTTTTAACAATTAAAAAACACGCTCTAGTCAGTTGTCATGACATCATTAGTTAGAGTGTTACCAAGTACCGAAAAATGTTTTTAAAAAAAAATGTGATATATTAAGACTAAGAACACAGGGTAAAAACAACACATTAACCAGATAACTGAGCCACATCTTTCAGCAGTTCTCCTACTTGGCCTTGTTTGCTCCCGGGGATGCGCAGGCCATTTCACATTTATGTATTATCATTTATATTTATCCTTTCCTGGTCGCTCACTTTCTTGCCGTCTCTGGCTTCATACTATCCTGTCCCAAGCCTTTAACTCTCGTACATTTCACAAGACTCACATGTTGTTTTGCGATCCCACCATTCCAGGACCCGACCAAGCAGATCAATCAGAACAGAATCAATAGGATGTTAAAGACCACAGAGAAAGAAGCCGTCATCGACTATGACTTCAATACACCAAAATATTTGATCGTTTACAACAATGCGTCTGAAAACGCTTTGAAAGAGAAGAAAGGGTTTAGGTAAGTCATTGTGTTTAAGGTTGTAATGAGAAAAAAGGCTTTAGGTAAGTCACTCTGTTTAAGGTTGTAATGAGAAAAAAGGCTTTAGGTAAGTCACTCTGTTTAAGGTTGCATTGAGAAGAAAGGGTCTAGGTAAGTCATTCTGTTTAAGGTTGCATTGAGAAGAAAGGGTTTAGGTAAGTCACTCTGTTTGAGGTTGCATTGAGAAGAAAGGGTTTAGGTAAGTCACTCTGTTTTAGGTTGCATTGAGAAGAAAGTGTTTAGGTAAGTCACTCTGTTTGAGGTTGCATTGAGAAGAAAGTGTTTAAGTAAGTCACTCTGTTTGAGGTTGCATTGAGAAGAAAGGGTTTAGGTAAGTCACTCTGTTTGAGGTTGCATTGAGAAGAAAGGGTTTAGGTAAGTCACTCTGTTTGAGGTTGCATTGAGAAGAAAGTATTTAGGTAAGTCACTCTGTTTGAGGTTGCATTGAGAAGAAAGGGTTTAGGTAAATCACTCGTTTAAGGTTGCAAAAAGAAAAAAAAAACAACAAACAAAGATTAACCACTTGATAATCTTTTACTATATAAAAATGAAACTGAAGATTAACCTCGGCTTTAATTTCTTTTCTTTTTTTTTATTCATAAATATATCAAATTTATTTTTCATTTTTAATATTTTGCAGATAATTTCTATCATTCCGAAAACTCACAAAATTTGCCAAGTACTATAATTGGTTTTGTTCCTCTCTTATTCCATCCTTAAAATTATATTCTTATAACTTAACTTTTCATTTATTCTATTTTTTTATATTTTTGGTCTTTAATACAGAATAAATAAACTTATTTTTATTCCAATGTATGACACTGTACATCGAATATAAACTGTTTTCAATGTCGGGGTTGGCTTTTGTCGTTGTCCCTAACAGATATTTTGGGCACGGTTCTTTTATCGCCAATCTCATAAAAGAAAATATTGAAAGAAATACGACACTCTGTTTCTTTAGTTGTAAGCATTATATTTACGTTCCACAGTTATGGTTCCCATTAAAAAAGATAATGCTGAACTAAAGCCGTTGGTAGTTAAAGATTTATTTCTTTAGTATAACATATGTACCTCTTTCATACGAGAAATACATAGAAAACTTAGGGCAGTAGTTCAATAGGTTTTTATAATCGTTGCAGATAAATTTAATTCAATTGTGATGTTTTTTTCTTCCATATTTAGAATCCATATTGAAGGTATGTCGAAGAGCCTGTTACCGGCTGGTTCTGACAACGAGGCTACCATCCCCTGGTCTCGTCATCAGTTGGTGGTCACGAAGCAGAAGGACGCCGAGGCCAGGTCCAGCTCCAACTACGGAATGTGGGACAGCGAAGACCCAGTCGCCAACTTTACACAGTTTTACGAAGACGACGAAAGCATTGTTGACCAGGTAACATGAGCAACATAGTAAACAGATGCAATCCACAAACTGATGTTATAGAATCCATACATTTACCTGATGTCATCCACACACTGAACTCCTATAATCCACATGAAAAACTAGTAAAATATACACACTGAAATGATAACCATAGATTAAACTGACGTAGGCCATAAATTGCTCTGACCTAATCCATTTATTGCTCTCACATAATCCATTGTTAAAATAACATAATCCATTCTTTGTGATGACCGCATCAAAATTTTGCACTGAAATAATCCATTCTTGGCAATGTTAAAATACATTCATTGCAATGGTATAATCCATTCATTTTGCCGAAACAATTTAGAAATAGCAAACAACAATGAGCACAGCTATCTTATTAAACGTAAAAACTTGCAAAAAAAAAAAAAAAAAAGACGATGGATTTTGCATGTTTTGAAGAGAAAAAATAACTGTATTTTTTAAAGTTAACATATGACCAAAATTCCACCAGGATTTGGTCTTTTGGATTACAACGGGCACCTACCACATCCCACGAAGTGAGGATCTGCCCCTGACGCCTGCCATCGCCAACCACCTCGGTTTCTTCATCATGCCTTTCAACTACTACGACGAGTGTCCGTCTATGGCGTCACGTGACGCCATTTATATCCACCACACGGACATGAAAGATCCCAGTAAGGGTGTTACAGTGGAGAGGTAGGAGCTTCGCTTTTAAACACAACTCGCATTCTATTTACTAGAGCAATTTAAAAGGTTTACCGGAAATTTGGTCGAAAGAAATTTCGTCGAAACTTTTTTTTCAGTTCACACGTTAAAAATCTCCTCAAATTTCTTTTTGAACGCACCATACTACATAGTAAAACAAAATAATGCGTTCAAAAATGAAATTTGGAGAAAAATTTTAAGGTAAAAATTGAAGAAAAAAAAAGATTCGAACAAATTTCCGTTCGATCAAATTACCGTCGATCATTTACCGTTGACGAAATTTCTTTCGATCAATTTTCTGGATACGATTTATCCAGTATTTAGTTTCATTTTTTTAAATAATAGAATTTTTAATGTAAGCAATTTTACACAAAGTTATCGAAAATTATGGATTTTCACATTTCAATAAGAGATGTAGAATAGTGGAAAATATGTACGCAAGATACAGAAATTCCTCGGTCGTGTAGTGACATGGTGGTAGTTTCGACAACATGACAATATGTCCATTTCCTACTCTTTTCCCAGGTACGGTAACACCGTTGGCCAATGCACCATCCCCAAGCCGACCTTGGAAGCTGACCTCGCAGCCAACCCTGACCAGGTTTTAGAAAGCAGACGTGTCAACTTGGTCAACTGAACAAATGGTGGCAATATCAGACGGTGTTTCCTGCTGAAAGACTCTGTGTCACATGAACTGAACGCCAGAGAAAGAAAACAGTGCTGATATCCTTTGTGTTTCGAGTTGACCGATTTATTATTAAAAACATTTTTTCCTGAACAAAAACAATATTTGGTGAAGTCGTTAACTAAACTAATTCGGACTTGAATATTTATTTTAAAAATCGTCTGAGAATTCCTAAGAAAATATAAAATCCAATATTTAATTTTAACATTTTAAGGAAAGATAATTTTTTTTTTAAATTTACAATCTGGGAAAAAAACAACAACTAAAAATGTGGGTAATGTTTAAAAATCTAATGGACAAAATAAAATGGGGTGGAAGAGAAATGTTTACATATGATATTTATAGTGAGCATCATTCGTGCATTTTGTGATAATGTGTATTTTCAAACTATATTTTGAAAATTCATTTTTTTATTAAATCGCTTCATGTTGTTATGAAATTAAGCCACAGAAATTCTATCGCCCCCAACCAAAATGTCCACCATATAATAAAAATTGTAAGCTGTTAAATACAATTTTAAAAAATGCGTCCCCATTTTAAAAAAATAACATCCTAAATGAAAATTCTATGACAATCTATCGCTGAAAAATAGAATAGATCGAATCGGTTTCGACATTAAAGTCATCAGTCTGCATCTTGCAGTTGTCCCATTCCATTTGAATTATAGAAAGCTATTGTATAGCATATGTTGTATACAAACAGTTTAATTGCAAAAATCCATCATAATAATACAGTTTTTGTAAATAAATCTGTTCGTTTTAAATGCATAATGACCAAATATCTTTGATTTATATTCATGTTTTTCTTTACACTTAAATATATTTCCTTTTTTAAAATAATATCATTAAAATTACGTTTCTAAACATAGATATATATTTTGCCTAGATTTATTTTATTTCCTTCAATTTCATCAAAAAAAACAAAAAATTATATTTAGACCTAACTGAATCAAATTTAATTTTTAAAAAGTCAATTTTTTAATTTTTTTTAAAAGTGTTGTACAAATTATTCAAATTATTGTTTTCTATTTGTTATATAGAAGTACAAGACAATATTCATCAAAATGTTTTTCCTGATTGCTATTGTAGATATATATATATATATATTATATACAGGCGTGTGAATGTATATTATCGTCATTGGTTTAAAGTATGAAACGAGAGTAGCAATCTTTAGTGCAATAGTGATTTATATAATTTCAATACTCTGTGAAGGGGTTGGTGTGGGCAATCCTGTAAGTATTTTTAAAAATAACTTAAGATTTCATAATGGAATGAATCCAAAGTCCAAAAAAAAATTGGTCATGTGATTCTTATCGAGTTACGGTAAACAAATTATTGTGTTCAGTGAAAGTTTCATGACAGCTGCTCATGACGCGTGTCTCATGATGCATTACACCATTGCGTCTGCTCATGACGACTGTCTCAAGGAAATCGCTACAATGACCATTGCTGCCTCGTGACGTCTATATGATGACTTTTGCTTTACGGCCTCTGCCTCACGACGCTCATGACGTGAATGATGCCTCACGAAGACCCCCATCCAATCTCGTCAGCCCCACGACGTCCTTACAGCAGCATTGAGAACGTTCTGCTGTCGTACTTTCTTGTCCATGAGATGCTGGTTTCCTGCAGTGCGGGGTGGCACGGTGATATTTTTGGAAATAGGGTAACACGGTATTTTAAAACCGATGGCTATTAGAGATTTAAAAAAAAATGGTTTATGAACAGATTTGTTATAAATATTTTGATCAATACCAGCAGGACATAAGAACGAACAAGCTTAATCTTACTCAAATATGTTTGTTCTTTTTTAATCTCGTTAGTTTTGATTCGTTAAATTGATTTAGGTAATGTTTCAGGCTCAGTTGGAAAACAACACACACAAAAAACTCACTACCTTGGTCAGCATGTATTTGTCAAATGTATTACGTCACATTGATATAAACCAGAGAATGTTGTATTCTGATATTTTGCTCATTTGTTTCCATGTCATAACTCATGTAGGTGGCGCCACCGTTGAATGTAAGATACTCATTCTGAACAATTACCTCTAATAAAGTAACGATACTGAAAGAATACCTTATCTATTCCTTTATTTTTTAAAAATATATTTTGTTCTATTTTAAGAAGGTGCATTTAATTATTCGCAGTAGCAGCCATGTCACTGTAATATTGGGTCAATAATAACCAAGACAATGTGGTTCAAACAGTAACTAATTTTAATATAGACATTCCCAAAATAATTATGTTTCACAAAATATGAAGATACAGGGAATAATGTAGCACAAATTTCACATTCTAATACAATTGCACACAACATAATCTGCTTTTACTTGATAATATTGTCCAAAAAATCTTGTTTCAAAATAAACGGTCTCTGTTCATTCGGCCAGTATTATTCTCTTCTCCCTTTTTTAAAAAAAGTATTAAATATTTCACTCTCATTGGCCAGTTCCTCTAGAGTCCCAAAACTCTGTTGCTTGTCTCCCATTAGTGGTTCACATATTCCTATCTGTGACGAATTGATTGTGGACAACGCTGATAACATTTTAAATCAAGGTCTTGTCTCGTTGAGAATATATATTATATATTTTTTCACTCCCTGAAGCGTTTGACTTCATGTTCAATTGCCAAGATACTTAGAGCCAGACCAAGCATTTATTTGTGTGTGTAGTCAGTCAACACTTTGGAAAACCAACACACGACAAACATACTTTTTGGCTGAAAAACAAAACAATATATACCAAAGAGCCCGAAATCAGACACTTGAGGTGGGACTTGTCAACCTGGGATGGGAAGATACACCAAGAGCAAGAAAGACCCGACTATGAACCTACTTTGCCTTGAAGGCTTCAAACCTTTTTACCGTCTACCGAAGGAAACTCAAACAGTACTTTGTCTGTTTACTCAGTACAATTTCCGGAACTACAAGGCGTCACACAAGCGTTTGATTCTCCAAACTTTTACAATGCCTTTCTACTATGTGATGAGAAAATAGTAAAACACAGAATCGGTTTATCTAAAGAAGGATATGTCAGCCCACTTTAACGCCTGTAACAATCAGACTTTTTTAACCAGACTTTTACCATCTCATTTGATCCCACGAGAAATGAACGTAACAACAAAAATGTACATTTGTGTTTTATAATAATTTCCGAAAAAAACGCTTTACATGTTAATTTTGGAGTGGCCTATCAATGACCCATGAACTCGCTTACGTCATCACACGTTAAACACTAGCAGGACATAAACTTTATTCTTGTGAACTAAAATATAAGTTGCAGTCCATTTTGAATAATTAAATTCTTTTATGTGTAGTGTCTTATCTGTGTTAAATTTAATACAGACTGCTGGTTAACAACAAGAGCTGAGCGCCAATTTTCTGGATTATCGAATTTTAGTTTCACTTTGAGACCAATAACTTAAGTTAGCATTATACAGCACACATTATTGGTAATAAAATAGTTTCAACAAACTTAAAATGTTTAGAAAAAAAATAAAAATCAAAAATAAAGTTTTTCAGGTTTCAAAAAAATATAATCTCTCTATCGAGGACGTCCGGAGGCTAATGTCCTCAAACATCTAGCACGAGATTTGGGTTCTCTTCAATGTCCTCTTCTAAAGTGGGACGCGGTGTCAAGCACTGGTCTCTAGAGTTACCGTTTCTAGAAATAAAATTTTAGAACAACATATATATTTTAATTAACCAACAGCTCGCCACAATTTCAAAGAACAAACAAAATCAAAAACAAAACATAAAGAAAAGAGAGTGGCGATATTTTATGTGTCATTGTCAGCATCATGTTGAGTGGAGTCTCCAAAGTGTGATCACTATGAACTGAGTGGAGTCTCCAAAGTGTGATCACTATGAACTGAGTGGAGTCTCCAAAGTGTGATCACTATGAACTGAGTGGAGTCTCCAAAGTGTGATCACTATGAACTGAGTGGAGTCTCCAAAGTGTGATCACTATGAACTGAGTGGAGTCTCCAAAGTGTGATCACTATGAACTGAGTGGAGTCTCCAAAGTGTGATCACTATGAACTGAGTGGAGTCTCCAAAGTGTGATCACAATGAACTAAGTGGAGTATCCAAAGTGTGATCACAATGAACTAAGTGGAGTCTCCAAAGTGTGATCACTATGAACTAAGTGGAGTCTCCAAAGTGTGATCACTATGAACTAAGTGGAGTCTCCAAAGTGTGATCACTATGAACTAAGTGGAGTCTCCAAAGTTTGATCTGATCACTATGAACTGAGTGGAGTCTCCAAAGTGTGATCACTATGAACTGAGTTGAGTCTCCAAAGTGTGATCACTATGAACTGAGTGGAGTCTCCAAAAAGTGATCACTATGAACTACACTTTCATCCATGCGTGCCTAAACTTTATTCTTGTACAACAATACATGCATGCAACCATCCATCTCTTCATACATACATACATACACACACACAATCACACACACAAACGCATCAACGAAAGCAAGCACGCCCCCCCCCACGCACGGACGCACATACATACGTAAATAATACATAGATACATGATACGTAGATACATAGATACATAGATACAGAGATACATAGATACATATATATATATATATACATAGATACATAGATATTTAGATACATAGATACATGGATACATAGATACATAGATACATATATACATAGATATATAGATACATAGATACATAGATACATATATATATAGATACATAGATACATAGATATTTAGATACATAGATACATGGATACATAGATACATAGATACATAGATACATAGAAAAATAGATACATAGATACATAGATACATAGATATATAGATACATAGATATATAGATACATAGATACATAGATACATAGATACATAGATACATAGATACATAGATACATAGATATATAGATACATAGATATATAGATACATAGATGCATAGATACATAGATACATAGATACATAGATACATAGATACATAGATACATTGATACATAAATACATACATAGATAAATACAACAACAAAAAATACAAACATACAAACACACACACATAAATACATACATACATATATACATACATACACGCTTACATGCATACACGCATGCACGTATACTCGCATGCACGCATGCACGTATAAACGCATACACACACATACATACATACACACATACATACATCCATACATACATACACACATATATACATACATCCATCCATACATACATATATACATAAATTCATACATGCATATATATATATATATATATTATATAAAGATAGATAGATAGATAGATAGATATATATATATATATATATACAGATAAACATTCATACAGCTATATATATAATAAATTAAACATTTAAAACATAAACATATGAATAACCTGTCTAAGAAAATGCCCTGGCTGGGTTCGCTGCTGTTCTTAAATTTAATATACATCGCGTCACGTGACCCCATGGAGGGGCATCCAGGGAAGAAGTTGTAGGGCAACAAGAAGAAGGTCAAGTGATTGCCCACTGTCGGAGTCACTGGGAAATCTTCAGTGTGTGGGATGTGATGCATGCCGGCTGTTATCCAGAAGACCAGATCCTGCGATGCGACATCAGTCACATCAACACATGGACATTAATTGAATGAACAATCAGACTACAGTTATATGAACAAACGGACATTAATTGTATGAAAAATCAGACTACCGTTAAATGAACAAATGGACATTAATTGTATGAACAATAAGACTACAGTTATATGAACAAATGGACATTACTTATGTCAACAAAAAAACACCAGTTATATGAACACATTGACATTAATTGTAAGAACAAATAGACACCAGTTATTTGAACAAATTGACATTGATTGTGTGAACAAATAGACACCAGTTATATGAATAAATAATATACATACTACATTTATATAAACAAATAGCCTATAGTTAAATGAAAAAATATAATACAGTTATATGAACAAATAGACTACAGCTATATGAACAAATAGACTACAGTTATATGAACAAATAGACTAAAGTTATATCAACAATGGGGCATCAATAATCTTTAAAATTTTTAATTAATTGTAATGTTGAGTTTTCTGTTGGGAAATCTTAGGAAATATAATCAAAAGTCTACTTCGTGGGCCTCAAACTCGTGGCCTGCGGGCCATTTGCGGCTCGCAATACGCTATTTTACGGTCCGCTATATGATTGCAAAGTTTAGTGTTAATGCGACCCGCGCATTTTCCCCATTCTCATATCTATAATGTAACCCTCAGCGATGGTTTCATTCGAACCTCACCTACTAGTCTAATGCTGATTTGTATTATGTTGGTATAGATTTGGACGTTGTTTATAACGGTAAAATCCGTTTTAAAATTGGACTTAAAATTTTAATGTACAGATTTTTATGAGACAAACATGCCAAAGTGAGGTTTGAGAAAAGTTTAATACGTCAGTTAGTAGGTAATGTACAACAATAATGGTGTCAATCGCAGTAATTTGACACGGTATCAAAGAATCTCTATTGAAATTGTAGCTAATGTTTACGAGGGAGGGAAATTCCGAGCCTGTCACCTTGGTCACTTTTAAAACAGGGTTAGTCAAAAAGACCTTTTATATGATTACAAAATAAAAATTCATTCTCCCAACAATAGCATCTTCTTCCGCATCAATAATTCATAAATATGGCCTGCTCCTGCCTACTGTTTGAACACGTTTTAGTATTTAAAGCCTTCATGGAGAAGGATGAAGTGATTGTTCCTGTGGTAAGTGATCCCAAATGGCTTTTCTTGTTGACATTACACAGGAGCTGAATGTACTCAACAAGAATTTTTTTTAAGTTGGGAATTTTAACAAACAATGTCTTAAATTAAAAAATAGGCAGAGCTTTTTAAATCAATTTGTTCATACATTTTATTGAATATTAGAGCAACAAACCACCAACCTCATCAACGATGTTATCATTATCCATATAGTACTGACTAAAATCCACTACAGGGTTGGCTCCATCGAACATCCCATAATTTGAACTGGCAGATATTTCCTCGTCCTTTTGTTTAGTCACCACCAGCTGATGACGTGCCCAG